CCTATTTAAATAAAACTCTTAATTGCTCTATTTAGATCTGTCACTTTTTGCTGATTGGAACACATTTTGCACTTCTTACTGATTCTTAAGCAAATCTAGAATAGGTGACGTTTAACCGGGAAACCTTTTTTTGATATACTTGCCCGTCAAAAGTAGTCTGCTTGGTAGTCAAAATAAAACACATGGTCGATCTGGGACAAAGGCAGAGAAATCGCTTAAAAATATAGCCCCTCTTAATCCACTAAATGACCCATCAACTACATTCTTTTACTAACAAAATAGTTGCCATTAATTCAGTCGTAACATAATTGATTAGCAAATTATGGGTTTATTATTTACAAATGACAATAGTCCCGCAACTAATGTTGATATTTGTGGGATACATTGGGGTTACAGGTTAATAAATAGTATTTTAATTGGCTTTCTTAGTAAATGTATAAAATATCAATAAAGATCCGATGATTGACAAAGAGATTGTCATTAATCCAATGTTACCAGTATCGTAGAGTCCAAATTAGTTGATGTTAAAAGCTCCACTACTGAAACATCGATGAGTCGAAGCTTAACGAAAATAATTACCGTAGTACCCCAGATGCTTTAGGTACTTTTTTTATTATAATAAACTTCGTTACGAAATCCCCTTCAAATCCTTATTGAACGAACTGGGTAAAAACAACAAATTAACAATATGTTAGGTACTCGGCCATGAAGGTCATTCTGGCAACGAACGGGCGGACTGCTTAGCAAATAGAAACGCTCTTCGTCCACTTATCGGCCCTGAACCATTCTTTAGTATCCCACAAGGTTATGTCAGACAAAGATGCGTATCGTGGGTTGAATCAGAATTTGCTCGCCACTGGGAAGCAACAACATACCAAGAGGAAAATCCCAAAAGCTGTTATCGCTTAACAAAACTGATCTCAGAATACTAACGGTACTACTCACGGGACACTGTGGTCTCAGATATCATCAATTCATACTAGGAAACGCCATATCGAAGGTATGCAGATTTTGTGGCTGTCAGGAGGAAACTTTAGAACATATATTGTGCCATTGTCCAACAGTAAGGACTCGTCGAGAAAGTGCTGCAACACTCGCCCCGTAGTATATATTCAACCTCTCACCAATCAAAACTGTTATTTTCATACATGAATTAAACCTGTTATGGTGAACCCATGGGCTGCACAAAAGATCCAAAATAGGGTCGCAGTGCTTAGAGCTCTCTCTCCAATCTCATCTAATTCCCTTCAAACACTATGGATTAATCAACATTAGATATATTCACTAATCCATAGACTACTCTAGTCCAAAGACTAAGTCAGAGATTCGTCAATAGATAAATAGATAATAGACTTGTCAATAGTTTAGTTTATAGATTAGATTCTAGACTTGTCTTTAGACTGAACCATAGGTAAGTCAAAAGATTAATTCATAGGTTAGTCAAAAGACTAATTTATATGTACATTTATCAATATGTTAGTAAATAGAATAATCAATAGACTAGTTAACATACTATTTCACATATTAATCAGTAGATTGGTCCCTAAAATTATCAATATATTAGACCTTAGACTATTCTTTAGCTTTATCAATAGTCTAGTCCACAGTCTAGTCAATGGAATAGTCCATAGACTGGTTCACATTCTAGTCAATAAACTGAGCAATAGACAACTTAGATTAGATAACAGACTGGCCAATAGTCTAGTCAATAGACCGGTCTATTATAAATATGTGAGACTATGGGCAATCAAATGTTGAACCCAAAGACCAAAGTATACTTTTCTAAAGGATTGAGCAGCTCTGAGTCAGAATATGTCCCCAAAAGTTATCCATCACATTGGGTCTTCCAGATTTCGTGTCACATATTTGGATAAAAACCCGTTTTTTTATCATATTTTCGACGCTATAACAGCGCAAAAAGACCTTAATTTATAAAATCTGTTATGTCATCTGAAAGACCAATTTGTCGTTTTTATACCCTACACCATTATAGTAGGTCCTACACACACCTTAAAGTATACTAATCGGCTCAGAATCCCTCAGAGTCGATTTAGTTATGTCCGTCCCACTGTGTGTTTATTTAAACCTTGTGCGCACGATATAAATCGCAATTTTCAAGATAATTTGATGAAATTTGGTTAAAATCGGTCCATTATTTCGCCTAGCCACAATACAACTGTATCCCCCGAATAGAGTTTTTGATCAGCAAAACATAGTTTTATATAAATTTAAATTCGTAATGATCGGGCCTCATTTGAACCTAGTTCCCATACTTGACTTAATGATCAAAATTCACTTATAAACACTAATATCACGATGAAATTCTGCATAAATAACTTTAATGTAGACAAATATGTTCTGCCTAAACGTGAATAATCTACGAAATTTTTTCCGGATAGGCACATAATTGGTCATAGCTCCCATATAAGGCCCACTTCCGAAAATCACTTAAACGCATATATTTCTTTGAATTCTAAAGCTATTGGGATAAAAGTCTACACAAATATGTTTTGTGTACGTACAAATCATTTTACAAAAATTTTTACGGATCGGTCCATTATTGGTCAAAACTCCCATATAAGGCCCTCTTACGAAAATCACTCAAAAGCACATATTTCATTATCAAATAAAGCTATCTTGATAAAATTCGACACAAACATGTTTTGTCCAAATATGAATCACTCTGCGAAATTTTCCTCGAATAGGCCCATAATTGGTCATAATTCCCATATAAGGTCCACTTCCGAAAATCACTTACACGCATATATTTCATCGAATTCCAAAGCTATAGGGATAAAATTCGACTTGAATAAGTTTTGTGTACATATAAATCATTCTACCACTTTTTTCTCGGATCGGTCCATTATTGCTCATAACTCTCATGTAAGGTCCACTTCTGAGAATCACTTAAACGCACATATTTCATTGTCAAATAAAGTTATCTTGAGAAAATTCGACACTAATATGTTTTGTCTTTACATAAATCACTCTACGAAATTTTTTCGGGATAGGCATAAAAAAATTCTACCAAATTTTTTCTGGATTGGTCCATATTTGGTAATAGCTCCTATATAAGGTCCACTTAAAAAAATCCCTTAAACGCACATATTTCAATATCAAATAAAGATATCTTGATAAAATATGTTTTGTGTACATATGAATCACTCTGCGAAACCTTTCCGGATAAGCCCTTAATTGCTCATAGCTCCTATATAAAGTCCACTTGCCATAATCACCTAAACGCACATATTGCATTGATTAATAAAGCTATTGGAGTAATATTAGACTTGATCTTTTTCTGCATATAAATCATTATACGAAATTGTTTCCTGATTGGTGCATAACTGGTAACAACAACCATATAAGGACCATTTCTGAAAATTACTTAAACTACATTTTATACATAGGTATAAAATTTAACATAAATGTGTATTTTGTATATTAAACGGATTTTTTTTCGGACCGGTCCATAAGTTGTCTTAGCTCTTATATAAGGTTAACTTCTGAAAATCACTTAATACCACTTAATTCGTTATTAAATTATTATATCCGGATAAAATTCAACATGAGCATGTTTTGTATATAGATAAATCATTCTAAACTTTTCTAGACCTAATCAAAATTAGTTCGACAAAAATGTTGGCAAGTTATCTAAAAATTAGATAAGTAGATGGGTGTAAAATATCCCATGATCTACCATGCCCTATAATACATTCTTACTTTCATTTTCAATAACACAGATTTCGAAAGCATGAAGCATCTAGAAAAACGGACAGACATTTCGATAATTCAATATTTTTTTTATCACAATGGGTAATAAATTGTACTTTTGACCCCGGTAGTTATTATGTTTAATCTAAATAACTCCCATAACATTCATTTGTTAATTTTCAAACATTTTGAAAATATTTAAATAATTTAATACCAACATTTTATTATTACTAACGCATTATTGAAAAAACAAACTTTTTCAATTTATAGTTTTGCAATATAAATTTTGTTCAATTATCTGGTTTAGAAACTAAATGCATTAGAAAATCAAAACAAAAATAAAAATATTGTGTAATGCATAAAACATGAATCGATATTGACATTAAATATTTGTTTATTTTGAATTGTAAAACGTGTTAACAACTTGTTTTTTGCGCACTTTTTTTTTACTGTTTTTGCAATATTTTTCACCCTGTCTTTATGTAGACTCAATAAAAACAACAATAACGACAAATAAATAAAATAAAAAAAACAGTCAACCGCCACCAAATACAACAAGTCAATATGCAGTCAACATTTGTCCATTAGGTTAAAAAAAATCTTTTTAATATTTTTATATGCAAATTGTGTCAAACAAACAACAACGACGTTGAGCAGCAGCTACAACGTTGAACTAACACTTTCAAAGTCTCGTAAAAGCAATAGAGACAGTCTGACATAGAGACATATTTTTGTAATTTGTATGACAAACGAGAATTATAGGCACCCTTCTGATCTCTGAGAAAACTTATAAATCTGATTGGGTACCTCCAATAGATTAGTTAGTAGTATTCTAGTCCGTCAGTCCAGAGCTCGTGGTTTCCCACCAAAGGCTCTGGTATAGGACAGCAAACAAGTCCAATAATGGCCTAAGTACACACTTCAGATCTAATGATCTGATACACACATACAACTCTAGTACCAATTAACTTTTGATTTAAACTTTGCGAAATACTCTTATATATATGACAGAGTGTCACCAAAAGAAACTCTCACTAATCATACCCTATGCCCCGCATAAAATATAACAGGCTTTAAAAAAGTCATAACAAATTATTAAACAAAAAATTGCTTTTGAAATAATAAACAAGTTTACAATTAAACATTTTTATATATTTCCATATAAATATTTAAAATTAATTGCTCTAGTCAATAAATTATACCAAAAACATATAAATATATTCAAATACATATAATGTAATACTTTTAACTTATTTGTTTATGTTTTTTCTATCTCGTTTTCTTTACAGATAAAACTTAAAAAAGTTTTAGGACTCACAGTATGCAGCAATGCAGCATTGGATTGTTCACCCATTAGTGGCCTGTTGGCCTATCCAGCTGGGTAAGTTTTGAAAAAAAAAAGAAATAATGTAACGTAAATCAAAGAGGACTCCACCCTGTAAGCATTTTTTCAGTTTGTAAAGTCCGTTTTAAAGACATTGTTTTAGTTTTGCACCGGTATATTGTTTAGGTATTTTAAATTCTACAAATACATGAACAAATTTATATTTTGGGTTGACAGGGTGGTAGTTAAAATGTGAAAAAAGGTTCTACTTTGTACGATCCGAATTTTATTGGTTTATCCATTCGGTACATTGTGATAACTTCACCATGCAGTATGTTAAAGTATTTCTGTTGAATTTCTTAAACAGAATAAATCTAATGAGTCCTGTATATATCTATTAATATGTACAGAACTCTGTATATCTGCACCTAACTTTAATAGAATCTCTGATATCAGAAGACCAATATTTAGCTGTAAAAACTTTCATATGGGATGACGCAAATTCGTTATGCTCTGAAGGTTTGAAAACGAACCAGCAAGAGGAATGTACGACAGCGTACTTCAGTTAATTGTTTTGACCGTAACAGATCTAAAAGAATCTGGGGATAATGCCAATGTCCTCAGTAATTAGTTCTCACACAGATATAGCTCATGCCAGAGAAAAATATTACCGACGAAAACACAATAAACATATTTCTATTGAAAACAGATATCGAACATATTAAACAATCGACCGATTCTAACTTCATACTAAATCCTAATTTTGAATTACATCCGTAACAATTCTTTTCCCCATGGCTAGTTGTTAACAGACCGAGAGGCAAATTATTTACATATGTCGCCGAATTATATTTAGACCGAGAACCAAGCATAGTTTGAGTTAACCAACGGGTGCTAATCGGCCTTATTCACAGAAGAAATTTAAAGCATTTATCTAGCCGAATTTTCACTATTATCTTACAGTTTTAAATAAAGAGCAAAGTAGTTTTATGTAAATTAAATATGCAAACTTTTACTAAAGATACAGGGTCCAAAAGTCCCAAAAGGAAACTGAACTACATCACATTTTCATATACATCTGTAGATGGATTTTTATATCGATTAAATACATATAACTAAATAGACAAAATTTTGTTCCTACTACTCTCCGAAACTTGTTGATAAATTTGGAACCAATAGAAATTGATATTCTTATATCCCGAGAGTCGATAGCTCAGAACTAATAGAAATTTACATTCCTATATCCCGAGAGTCGATAGCTCCGAAAAAAATTTATGAGAAGATATATGAATACCGGGGCATGGCGTATATAGGCTGAATAATAGGCTGAAAAACAGGATTCATTCAAACATAATATTACGATATTTTGGATGTTAAAGTAGTAAGAGTTAGGGTTCTATAAATCGTCCTTAAACTAATAGAAGAATCAACTTTTTGTTGAAAAAAACCGAAGTCAACTTTTTTGTCCTAACAATGTAATAATAATTGTAAGAAAAAAGATTTTGCAAATAAATATCGAAAAAAAGACGGGAAAATTCGGAAAAAGTCTAAAGGACAAAAAATCGAAAAAAGTCGAGAAAATGGGTAAAGGTCGAAAAGTCGTAGAAAGGCGATATTAAAAAGTCGAAAAATCTGATTTTAATAAAACGAAAAATCTACTTTTTATTTCATCTATAGAACACTAGTAAGAGTGTTCTATTCGTCTTATGTACCTAATAACAAAACATGTGTCATTAATTCAAAAGTAATTTTTGAACAGGTGCTTTAAGGGACTTGGGCCAATTATGGATCTACTCTACAGAAAACTTTGTTGTTGAATTCTATCCTAATACCAAAGATTGAGTGACAATTGGCATATTTTTTGTCAGAAGGGTAATATTGGGGGTAGAGCCAAGTATGGTCCAATCCTCATGAAATTCGATCAAAAGATTTTGGTTATTATAAAACTTGTTTATTTCGAATTTCACAGCTAATCTTCCTAATATATATAGGGCCTGGGGTCAATATAATTTCTAAACTATCTTGTGCGAATTTGTATCACGATTTCGGTGAGATCAACATAAGGCTTATTTAATTGAATTGTAAGGGCTAGAAGATGTCGTGGACCGTTATTGCTCATTTTCAATACCAAACATTTCTTATATTGGGTGCATGTTGGTAGTTTGCAATCTATCAGTCTGGGGCTTATGGTTTATTTAATTGTATTCGGAATCTAATCTTGGGTGCTAGTTGATAGTGTGCTAGAATGTCAGTTGTTGGTTGCGGATACGATTCCTATCCGATACTCTGGACTGCTTCACTAGGACCCAAAATATATGTACATACTCTATGGGGTCTACGAGTGATGTTTCGATGTGTTACAAACGAAGTGACAAAATCAATATACCCTCATTGATCGTCTCGGAATTTTACAAGGACACAGAATACATTATGGGAATGATAAAATCAATGTATGTACCATCCATATATGTGGGTGGGTATAAAAGGAACTAGATATTATTAAGGTTTAACCTTTACTTTTAAGTAAAAAGATAAGCCTTTGATACAACATCGGCAAAAAGACTGAAAATGTAGTTTCTTCATATACTGTGTTAAGATATCCCAAAACCCTGTTTTGTTGAAACCATTTTTTGACTTAAAATTTTTTTTCGATCTATGATTATACCCTATTTACGAAAAATTTGTCATAAACTCTGTATCCAGAATCGGGCCCGGAAAATTTCCCTTTTTTGGATTTTGTAGGTCTATCAAAAACTTATCGTATTATATTGTATCCAACTACGTCCCTGTCTTATCCGCACTATATATTTTCTTGTTTGTTACATAAAAATATTTTACTTTTGTTTCTTTTTTCCTCGTTTGTACTCGTATTTCACCATTAAATACTCTTTTTCTAAAAATTTTTGAGTGCATTTTTCCTACGACCACAGTTTTAGTTTTAGCTAAATATTTTTTTCCATTCTTCGAAATAGTTGTTGTGATTGTTTTGTGGTTTCTCCTATAGTGGGGTTTTTGGTACTTATTTTTTTGTTTTTGGCATCTTCCAAGCAATTTCATGAATTAAAAGTGTGTTAAAGGTCATTCATTAAACACTTTCTGCAGTTTTATACTAAAAACCATACTTGGGTTTTTAGTACTTAGTACGCTTATGCTTGGCTTTCTTAACGTTTAGTTGTTTGTTCAATTGTTTCACCAGTTTGTTGATAAATTTTTAATTATAAATACCCTACACCCTGGTGGCTACAAACATTTACACTCATTTTAACATTGTGTGCAAAAATATAGTATTTACAGCCAGTAACTAAGTAACTTTTGGGGTTTTATATAAGGTCTTATGGCATTCGTTTTAATTGTATAAAATGTTCTTTATTTGCTTTATGTACTTTTGGGAGTGTTTTCTTAATAATAGTATTTATACAATGTATATTATAACAATGACTTTAATTAAGATTTTAATAGCAAGTTTATTATGATAAATAATATTGTTATTATTATTACGAGCATGAGATGACCACAATCAAAAATATGTTCAAGACAAAGAAATGAAAATATATTTACTTAACATTTTTCAGGATTGTATTAGAAATCTGTAAAGTAAAACTTCAGCTCCTACGTTGAGGCCTTATAGGTCAGATCACTTCTTTAATTAAAGAATATTTATGTATAACATGAATCAGTTTAGCCACCTTTTCAATTGTATACAATTTATTTTTTAAAGCAGTGGTCGGCAAGCAAAGTAATACTCATGCGAATGAGAGTGAAATTCATTAAAACATATAAAATCTAAACGAAATAAAGTAATTTCTAAATCGGGCGACTTGTTCTCAAGTGCTCTAAATTATTTTACTGTTATTTTAAATATCGGACTATATACTATTGATTTCTACAATTTCTATAATATAAGACCGATATATAATATTGTAATAGTGTTCAATAAGAATTTCTTAATACATATTGCAAAATTTGACCTTTGACCTCCACAGTTTACGATTTAAGATTGCCCGATATGAATAAAACTTCTGATATATATTTCACATTATCTGCACTATAATCCCCTAAAAATTTTATATTTTATATAAGAGTAAAGACTTACTCTCTATTACAAAAACTGCGTTTTTTCCGAAACTATAATAGATATTGAAAAAATTTTTAGTATAGTCTCTATTCCATAATTCAAATTTCCAATACGAAACATCTTATCATCAGATTTTAAATTAACTAAAGAATATACTTCTGACCAAACTATAATTCAGACTCTAAAGTAGAATATAGTTCGGACAATGGATTAGAATATAAAATATACAATAGTCCACGCTGTATACTAGACTATAAATTGGACTATAGGTCAGGTTATATTCTAGACTATAGTCTAGGATATAAACTAAACTATAGTCTAGACTATAGACTAAACTATAGCATAGTCCACATTATAGTTTCTGTATAAAAAAGTCCAAACTATAGAATAGATTGTAAAATATACTGTAGTCATGACTATATACTAATATAGTTCAGGTCATAGACTAAACTATGGTCCAGACTATAGACTATACTGTAGTACAAACTAGACTAAACTATACACCCGACTATAAAGTAGATTATATTCCAGACTAAATAATATACTTTGTTTCCCGATTTATGAATAGACTGTAGTACATACTATAAACTAAACTACAGTCCAGTCTATAAAATGAACTATAGTCTAGTCTATCGAATAGGTTATAGTCTAGACTTTAGAATACAATATGGTCCAGACGATATTGGGGTTACCTACCGAACATTTAAATGATTTTTAACAAAAGTCATTTATGGGGACTTGTGTTAATAGTGAATAACATTTTAAAAGTTTTTGTAGAAAAATGTATTTTTTACAAGAAATTCCTAATTTGGATCTTATCTGAATATCCATTTATTTAAGTGACCTTCACTAAGTGGTCCAATAAGAGTCAATAATGGACGTATCCACTTAAAATTTATACAATCAAATAGAAACCTGGTTTTTCAATATTTTGCAATATAACGTAAAATAAACTTTTGTCGAGGCTCATCGTGATTATCGG